CTTGTTTTTGTATTGCTCTATTCCTTGCCTTCGACTCTGGGTAGGAGATCACATTATGCAAAAATTGTCTATAATTCCCTCGTATAGGTTTCATGTTTTTCTTTTCTCATGACAGGGTGCGGGCTGCAAAGAAATCGACGATAGTGTGGGGGTGTGGTTCATACTCCGGTACAAGGTCTTGGTAGTGGGCTTTTATAGTTTGTGTTTGTATTTTATTGGTAGTTTGGACTGAACCCATAAATAGTTATTGAGTTGTGCTGCCTTGTCTCTATATAATCTCTTTATCTTGTAATTGAGAATTGTGATAGGAAGGTGGAAGGTGCTAATTGTAGTGAAATTCTTTGCTAAATATAGCCATAATTTAACGGTAAACTAGGATAAATTTCGTGTCTCGATTTCTCTTTTTTGCCTTTATTCTTTATTTCATTGTGTTTGTACGCCTAATTCTAACATATAGACAAGCTAAAAGCAATGCTCGACGTGGTGGACCCCTAGCCCCCAGGAAAATCACTTTCCATAAGGAGGATTTTTGATGGGGTCATCCAGAAGGAAATTGCTGATGCCGTGGCACAAATTGTGAAAATGCTCGACCAGGAGGAGAATAGCACTACCACTTCAGAGGCATAATTGTCTGCAGATCTTGCTTTGGGTGTCCTTGACCGCGGTATCTGCTCCTAGAGTACGTGTTTATTCGGAAGAGGGTGTTAGCTTTCTGTGAGTCAATTGTTTCGAGTTTTGTCGAAGATTTGTTTGGTTGGAGACCTGTGGTGAGAAAGTGATATGATATCCTGGTGATGCCCCGAAGGTTGCTTCTTGTGCATCTTAATGTAGTCTGAATGTACTGTAACTTCCAGGTCTTTTATATTAACTCCATGGTGCTTTATTGCTTCAAATCTGAGTTTTGGGTTGCCCTCTTAACGATCACTCCGTCCCAGTTAAACACAACTTGACAGATTTAAGATAATGATGATGTGGAAGCAGCGATCCATTCTGTTAGACAGTGGTAGGAGAAATGAGGATGGCTTGAGTTCCAAGTTCTAATTCGACCCTACTTGAAAGCCCGTTTGTCATAATTGAGCTCCATCGATAAATGGCCCAAGTTAAGACTTAAGGGGGCAACAACATAACCCGGTCCAGTCAATCGTTGATATTTGCTTACTTCGTTGATGTTTTTGTGGATCTCATATCTCTGTTCGAACCAAAGTAGCACAGTACTGGTGATTCTGTAATTCCTCACCCTTGATGGTCTTAGCTCGTGGAAACTTAGCAAGCTACGTGGCGTTATTTCGATCTTATTGAAAGAAAATCGGGTGAATGCCGTTGCGATCACGAACCATCTAGCAAGAACAAGACACGGCCTGATTGGCAACTTCCCGGATCGACTTGATTCCGAAGGCAAAAAATTGGGACTGAAAATGATCTGAAGCGAAGTGTTCGGGTAGCATCCTACTCGGGTGTCCCGCGGATAAATAGCAAGTGGGTGCTTGGTTCAAATTGCATGATCGGCCGCCATACGAACCGAAGGCCGAAGGGTCAGTTTTGATTGTCATTGCCCGCATTTGCCGAATTGACTAGTATTGCAAGTATACATCATGATTCCAAATATACAAATCTTATGACGTATCCATTAGTATTTTTATATCCTATCCTGCGTGGACGCGAATAACAAGTCTTCATCTTTAAGCATCCTCGAGAGTTTTGAGAGTATCCGTGACGATCGATCAAAGTAGAGGATGATGCATGCAAGTCTTATTCAAATGGTTTCTCCCTTTACTTTAACTGAGTTGCTTGAATATCGAATTGGTGCCTAAAGGCTTTCTAAATTCTAATTGGAATCGTGTCGTGCGCGATGCCACGCGTTAGTTTTATCAAATCTCGACGGCCCCTAAGTGGCTCGGCAAGAATTGGTCTGCTTAAGGATTATAAAATACGACGTTGGCCGCAAGAAAAAAATGTATTAACGCTGCCCGGATGCCGTGATAGGAGTCATGCGAAAAGGAAGAAAGAAAAATAAAAGAGAAGAAAACGATGAGCATCCTAAGATTTAGACAGCTCAATCGACATCTCTTATAATTGTTTTGGCTTTTGGCGGAATAGAAATCCGGCATCTTGTGACGATTTAGGAAACGAAGACGAAGGCTTCGAAGAGGCAAAAATCTCTCTCTCTCGTCGTCACCTTCCTTCTTTATTCATTTTTTTTTTGGGTCAAACCTTCCTTCCTCTCTTTATTTTATTTTATTTGGGTGAAACTTTCCTTTCTTTATTTTATTTTAACGATCAAGTGTATTTAAATAACTCCAGTCTGTCATTTTCAAAGTAATATTGCTCTCGTGTGTGGTACGTAACCAATTATTCGCAATGGATTTCTTTTTATTAAGTATGATCGTAACTAGACACATTCGACAATCGGGGATGAAAACCCCTTTTTTTTTTTGGTTTAAGCACATCCGGCTCCGTGGGTCAGGTGTCCTAATCCAATCCTCACCCGCATCCCCCGCTGAGCCGAGCTGAGCCGCTTCCACGTGTCCGTCATGCCCCCCTCCCTTTCCCGTGCCCCACTCACCTCCCACGTACGTTTTTGGCGGAGGTCAAGGCTCACCCTCGCCTCGCCGGCCCTAGCCTCTGACCGGTCGCCGGACCGATCAAGGGAAGAAGGAAAGAAAAAAAAAAAAGAAAGAGAAAGGAAAAAAAATAAAAATTAAGAAAATCGAAAAAAATTAAATTTTTTTTTAAACTGCCACATCAGCATTGGTCGGATAGTTAGTGCTAGCTGGCGTCCACGTCAGCGCCTGTAATGACATGGGTCCCACTCGCAAGATATTGTCCGCTTTGGACACTAAGTCCTCACGGTTTTGTTCCTCCGAGGGCAGCCCATACTACCCCCAGAAAAGGCCTCTTGCAAGTTAAGGTTTCCTGCCTTTATAAGCAAGCCCAAGGCTCCCTCCCTAGGCGATGTGGGACGGAGACATGCCCCCTCGCCATCCTGAAGCTGCCTAGGAGGCGCTCCTTGTCCAGGCCCTTATGGCCCCGGCGACCACTTCCCGCCCTCGTTGGACCGGGTCGTTACAGCGCCGGTCACCCAAAATTGGCCAAATGAATTGAGTTGACACATATATAAAAGGTTTAGGACTGAATTGACACAATTACAATAGATTTATGATTAATTTGGTAATTTCCCCGTATGTGATTCAAGAAGCAATTGCTGAAATTTGAACCTACCTATCCACAGCAAGATGGTAAGGAAACACCTTGATATGCGCTCCAATCAGCGTAGGTCTAAATATATCTTACTATAAGAACAGAATGGCCATTGCCCACTTCTTGTTCTTGAAAGCACTTCGATCAATAATAATACATAATCTTCACTCCATTGTTATTACCAATTTTTCCCCACAAGCTCATTAATATGAAGCTATTTGGATCAGTGTTAGCCGATCGAGGTTGATTAAAGCCGTGGTCGAATTCATCGGTACCTCGATCTCTTAGCTTCGGATCGGATAGGTCTTGATCTGCTTGGTAGTTTGTCCGATCTGGTCCTAGATTTAAGTAATGGAATTCTCATGATATGCTTTAGTGCGTGCCTAGCTTGACCGAGCACATGCTAGTCCCTAATAGGTCATGGTTGATCTAAGATGGGTGCATGGGTTGACCTGACCTCTAAGGCGGCATTAAATGTAGAGATTAATAATTGAATAGGATTGGAATCCGGTCTATTAGATGGTTGATGTGGTGATATCGGTCTGTCATTTAGAATATTCGGGGAAGCTGATTCCTCATTAGCTTTTGGAAACATGCATCTTCCGATTTGCATCCATAAGTTCCTTTTGATTTTTCAATTGGGTCATCCAAGTCTGTTTCTTTTCATGATTTCGTTTCCTTTGTTTATGCGCTCTAATCAGCATAGGAAAAACTACCAGCACTTGCACTTCTCCTATGACCTTCGCAACAATCAAATACAAGGAATTTCGGGCTTGGGCTCGCGGTCGGACGAAGAAGAGAAATTTGGGGCTATTTGGTTCTTCGTTGATGGTAATGCCATCAATTTTGCAAATTTTTCTTTCGATATTCTCTCAACTTTCACCTTAGACGAGGAAGAAAAACTAGGGGCAAACTGTAGACAAAAAAGATTACTCACATGAAGAAGAGATTTCGGACGTACGAAGAAGAGATCACGGACGAAGAAGATGACCGTGTTGAGAAGAGATCACTCTGGTTTTGTCATTTCTGTTCAATTTAGGGCTTAATGAGTGATTTGCTTCAATTTGGGGCTAGGAACACACGATGCCCTTTTAGATTAGTAAATGCTCTAAAACGGTGTCGTTTTCCACAAGTGGAGCTCATTAGGTAAGTTATTTGTCATGCAGGAGAGAGAAATGGGAAAAAAAAAGTCGCGTCAGCATTTTTCAATAGCCAAATTAAACGAAGTTAACGGAAGAGGGACTTGATTGCATAAACTTGATAACTGCTATGACTTGATTGCACTTTTTGTAAATTTTGGGAACTTAATCGCACTTTTGCGATAAGCTTTAAGACTTCACGCGCACTTATCCCAATAATTTAACATCAATGACGTTAATAAGTTTCTTTTTTATTCCCTTAATTTTTATTTGGGCTGATTTTTTTTTTTTGTTGTCTAATATAAGAAATCCCGGTGGGTGAGCTTAGCAAACCCCACCGACTGGGATTAATACTTTTCCCAAGGAACCGGGTAAAAACAAGTCACCCAGTTCCCTTGGGAAAAACACGTGTGTACACACTCATTTCCCAGTAATTAAACCATGCACGGCGTTTGGAAGTGGTGCTAACGGCTGCCGGTGATTTTTTCCCTGTGACATGCCCGAGCACCACCTACGTACGACGGTCGGCGTCTTAAAAGAATGGTGCGTTTTAGGCATATGCCTTCCGGTGCCTCACCAACCCGAGCCGGTAAACAAAAAGGTTTCTCACCAACTTCCACGGTCCCACCAAAGAAAGACCTCCCTATAAATTCCCCCCTAACACTATCCAGTCCCTTTGCAATCTCCCTCTTACCTCGTAGGCTTCGATCCAACGACAAACCCCCCCAAGATGGCATCTGGCTACGATCTGGAGGTGACTGTAGAGTCCGCCCACGGCCTCAAGAACGTGAACTGGCGCCACGGCCCGCTCCGCCCCTACGCCGTCCTCTGGGTCGACCCCAACAACAAGCGCTCAACCATGGTCGACGACGAGGGCGGCACGTTTCCCGTCTGGGGCCAGACCTTCGTCCTGCCCTTCACCCCCGTCGTCATCGAGGACGCCACCCTCTACATCGACGTCGTCCACGCCGGCTCCGAGCAGGACACCAAGCCCTTGATCGGATCGGCTCGGCTCAAGGTCCGCGACGTCCTCGACGAAGCCGACTTCGGCGAAACTCGCTGGCGCAGCCTCCAGCTGAAGCGCCCCTCGGGCCGGCCGCATGGCAAGGTCGAGGTCGAGGTCTGCGTGTGGGAGCCGCGTTATCGTCCGCCCAACCATTACGGTGCGCCTCCCTACTGGGTTCCGCCGGCGTACGGCTACCCTTGTGCGCCTCCGGCTGGTGGCTACGCCTACGTCACGAACAATCCGCAGCTGCTGGAGTATGGATACGACGGGGAGCTGGCGGCGGCGTACGGGCAGGAGGAGGAGGAGGAGGAGAAGAGCAACTTGGAGGGGATAGGGAAGGTATTTGCGGTGGGCGCGGTGGTGGGGGCTCTCGGTGGACTCGTCCTCGCGGGGTGGTTGGGTTCCAAGATCGTGGATGGTGATGGCGGGGCTTGGGTTCAGTGCGGCTCGGGTTGCTACAATTCCCGCCCCGAGCCGATACTTGTTGGGTACGTGCTCCATGAGACCCGCAACCCGCCCCGAGCCGAATACTCTGTTCGGGTCTGGGTTGTGGCTCTTTTTGTCTTGCTCTGTTTTGCTCTTTTCCTGGCCCGTGTGTAGTGTGGTGCTTCGGGCCTGGTTTGTGGCTCTTTTTGTCTTGTCTTGTTTGCCCCGTATGGGGTGTGGTGCTTCGGGTCTGGGTTGCGGCTCTTTTTGTTCCGTCTAGTTTTGTTCTTTTCCTGGCCCGTATGTATAGGGTGGTGGTGCATCGGAAGTAAGTTTTCTTTTACCATTTCTGCCGAACCATCAGCAATAATGCTTCTTTTTCCAGGAACTTTCATCCCCATTGTATCACTAAATGCCAAACATATGAAAAGATGGGGTTGAGTTTCAGCACAAACATTGATGGGAGATGCTAATTGCTAGCATAACTAAAACGACCTACGGTCACTACGATAGATCACCACGTGATGAGTAGCTAAACATAGACAAGAATCCAAGGCTTTTTGCCTTCAGTTTGTAGAGCACTTGCTAGCATAAAGTCGGTATCCCCATCTTCAAAAGTGATTGTTGCTTCCCGTCCATCCCATTCCTTGCGATTACTCCAAGCCGCATCACATTATGCACTCAGTAAAAATATATATAAATCTATTAAGTCAAAGATTTAATGATAGGGAAACTCCATCAATGAAACACCCTTCCCCCCTCTCAGTTGCTCAGTAAACAGTTGAGAAGAACAGTAAGATCGACAAAGATCTCAGGCAGCATTCAACGAAGTTTTTGCAGCTCACAGAGATTTTCACACCCCTTCTCGTCCCAAATTCTCTACAAAACAATTCAGCCAGAATCAAATCATAGCAAAGAAGACCAATTACAGAACGAAGGCAACAAACCCAGAATTGGTAACCACCTCCCCTGTATCTTCCTTTTATCTATTTTCGAGTCTGGACTCTGATTATTTTAAAAAGGCGTAGAGAATGAATTGGACGGGCCACTGCACTGTTTTCGACGCGTACCTCGATGACGGTGATGGAATGGGAGGGCCTCATCGTTTCTTGGCTTCTGCTTCTATTGGTCTTGCAATGTGGACGGAAGAGCGCAAGTACGTGAATTTTGCCCTATTGTCAACCTCCACAAAATTATCCAAAAAGTCCTCGACCTATTACACTTTTATCAATTCAGTCCTAAATATTTTCACGTTTTCCCAATTAAGTCTATCCGGCCAATTTTGGCCAGAAATTGCTGACGTGGACGACGGCCTTCCTACATGGCATGGCGGATGCTGACGTTTTATAATTTTTAATAATATTTTTCCTTTTTTTCCCTTTTCACTTTTTTTTCCCTTCACTGGGCCATGTCGATGGCCAACGGAGGTCGCCGGCCATCGACGAGGCTCGATGGTGGCCGGCGGAGGGAAAATGAAAAAAGAAAAAGAAAAGGGAAAAAAAAGAAAAAAAAGAAGGAAAAGAGAAGAAAAGAAAAAATAAATAAAAATAAATTTTTCGAAAAAATATCAAAATATTATAAAATTTTGTCTACGTCAGCAATTTCCGGCCAAAGTTGGTCGGATAGACTTAATTGGCAGAACGTGAAAAGAATTAGGACTGAATTGACAAAATTGAAAGATTTATAACCGAATTTGTAAAAGTGCAATAGGTTTAGGACTTTTTGGATAATTTTCTCGTCAACCTCTAACGCTGTATTGGCAAACTGCTCTGGCAACAAGTTGCGCCTTTGTGATGCGGAAGCTAAAGCCCGGAGAGGACCGTAAACACATCGATCTCCGAGGCAAAAACTAAGGGTGCGAATGGTAACCATTCTCTGCTCCGAAATCAAATTCTTGCGAAATTGATTTGGAATTCTTGCTGAATCGATTTACGGAGGAAAATCTGTTTGGTAAAACATGACTAATTCACTCAGAAATTGATTTCCGGAACAAACTCTGTTTTGATTTGTTGATTTTTTTACACCTAAAAAAATTTAAATTTTACTCAAAGTGGGTGGCCACATGTATTATAAGCCGTTCTGTAAAGTTTTGAAATTTTTGATTTTTTTTAATTTTTTTGGGCACCTAAAAAAATTTAAATTTCACTCAAAGTGGATGACCAAAGGTATTCTAAGTCATTTTGTGAAGTTTTGAATTTTTTATTTTTTTATTTTTTTGGGCACCTCAAAAATTTAAATTTTACTCAAAGTGGGTGGCTACGGATATTCTAAGCTCATTCAAGTTTGAAATTTTTATTTTTTTTTTTTTTTTTGGGCACCTAAAAAATTTAAATTTCACTCAAAGTGGGTGGCTACAGTATTTTAAGTCATTTTGTGAAGTTTTGAAAATTTTTATTTTTTTATTATTTTTCTTTTTTTTGGGCACATCAAAAAATTTAAATTTCACTCAAAGTAGGTGGCCATAGGTATTTTAAGTCATTTTGTGAAGTTTTGAAATTTTTGATTTTTTTTGGGCACTTCAAAAAATTTAAATTTCACTCAAAGTGGGTGGCCACATGTGTTTTAAGCTGTGAAGTTTTGAAATTTTTTGATTTTATTTTATTTTAAAAAAAAAAATTCACCAAATTTCATATTTTCCCGAAATCTGACTTTTTTTATTTTCTGGAAATTTTTATGAATTTTTCTAGAATTTTTCAATTTTTATGCATTTTCTGAAAAAAAAATTGTGAGAAAATAGGGAGAATGCATTCGAATCAAGAAGCTACAAAAAGCTTCTCTTTTCTTGCCAAAAACTCATTCCGAATCAAAAATGCATTCTGGAATCAAGAATGCATTCGGAATCAAGAATGCGTTCGGAATCAAGTATTTTTAACAAACGCATTTTTATTCCGGAATGCAAAAATCGCTCCAGAATGCATTCCGAAATTTTTTAACAAACTCCATTACGTTCGAATGCATTCCGGAACAGAATTTTTATTCCGGAATGCATTCCATGCGCACCCTAAAAGACAGAAACAGCAATCTAAACCTGGAATCAGCAAAAGCAAAACAAAGTACTTGCGAACTCCATAGTTAAACCACAGCCTAGATGTCATATCAATTAATATATCGACACATTAAGCAAGTTCTCAGACTTCAATGAGATTGTTAAAATATGTCTCGTGTTTGAATTCGTAAACGAAAATCCGACCCTAATAAAATACGCGGAAAAATATGGAAATTGGATCCGTGTTGAAGTCACGAGCAAAATAAAGGTCGTCTCCGTGTTGAAATCAAGATCAAGAATGGAAGTTTTACTTGGATTTTCACCGGGCGCAAGATTGTCTTAAAATACACGGAATCCACTTTCCTGAATGAATTGGTCAAGAACCGAGTTGAAGTCGGCTACCGATGGCCTCCTTTTGGATACATATGTATAGACGCGTGCGTGAAGGGCAGTTGAAGCGCCGGTCTTTCTTCATGAATTACATCCATGAAGTTAACGTGTTGAAGCCGAAAAATTTTTGAGATAAGAATTTGTGTATAATTTTTTCGTGAGATTGAGATATTATTTCGTGAGAAATTATAGCACTAAACATGGTGTGCGTTATTGGGTGTAATTGGGTTGGGAAACACCGAAAGAGTTTAAGTGACTCGAGTATGGTTGTAGTATCCATTGTATTGCTTGATGTATAGCGGAATTTCGTTCTACTCTCTCCGTGGACGTAGGTCATTATAATCGAACCACGTAAATCTAGTATCCAATTTATTTTCTTATTCCATCTATTTTATTATTCAATCACTTACTTTCGCAATAAATTGTGATCGCAAAGCATTGGTGTTACCAACAAGGAAACCTAATCCAATGAACACGACACCCAACATAATCCAATGATTTATATATATTTTTACCGTGTCCATAATCTGTCATCTTGTCTTTCGTGGGAGTTGATGTTGTCGTCCCGACATCTTTGCTGACGATCTGAGTTTGTTTCACGGATGAGACTCATGTAATGGTGTACTGAAACTGTGGAAAGATGGACTCGCAACACATTGTGCACTATGCACCCAACATGGTTATGCTCTCTTTTTTTGGATGTATATTGAATGATACACTAGATTTGAGTCACCAAGGGTATCAATGCTCAGTTATGGTGTGATTATTTAATTAGTTGTCGTAGATCTTGTGTAGGTGATCGAAATAGATGCGGACAAATGCACGTAATGCTGGTGATATCGGGCATGTAAAAGATCAGAGAAATGGAACAGAGTTATGGATCACTGGCTTATTTGTTATTGTTTAAGCCGTCTTTGCATGTCACTGGCTTACTTGTTATTGTTTAAGCCATCTTGGCAAAGTTACTCTAATTAAATCAGCTCTTCATTTGGATATTTTGTGATCAGAGTTTTCCATCTCCGATGTGGCAAATGAAATACAAGCATCCATACAGGATCTTGATGACCGACATGAAGTGCATACGGATCAGAATCTTTGTGTTGCAGCTTGGAGTAGTCACAGGGAATGGACTGGACGCCTGGACGGAACTGCTGCATTTTCATGCAATAATCGCTTTTGAAGATGGGGATACCAACTTATGCTCGCCTTGATCGTCACGGATGATGATCTATCGTTCTACCGTTATTCGTTGTAATTATGCAAGCAATTAACATCTCCTATTACTATTACTGCGAAAACTCAACCCCAATTCTTCATGTATTTGGTAGATAATGGGGATGAAAGTTCCTGAAAAAAAGAAGTATGATCGCTAATGGTTCGGGGAAATTGGTGAAGGAATAACTTAATTCTGATTCACCACCCCTACAAGTGTGCAAAAAAATTAAAAGAATGAATGAAAAAAGAAAACCCGACCCGACCCAAATCGTGTTTTCGGTTCGAGCTAGATGTGGTTCGGGTCGGGTTTCGGGTCACCGGGAGCACATGCCCAAAAAAAATTTGTTCGGTTCAAGTATCATAGAAACCCGAACTGTTGACAGCCCTAGTATTTACTCTTAGATCGTGTGTTTATTCAGAAGAGGCTTGTTTTCTTTCTACGAGTCAATTGTTTCGAGTTTGTCGAATCTTTGTTTGGATGGAGACCTGTGGTAAGGAAGTAATATGATATCCTCATGATACGCTGAAGGTTGCTTCCTGTGCATCTTAATATCGTCTGAATATACCGTAACCTCCTGTACTTTTTTTCGTACTCCATGGTGCTTTGCTGCTTCAAATCGGAGTTTTGGGTTTCCCCTCTTAATAATCACTTGTCACAGTTAAACACGACTCTATAGATCTGAGATAATGAGGATGTTGAAGCAGTGATCCATTTTAGTAGACAGTGGTAGGAGAATTGAGAATGGCTTGAGTTGCAAGTTCTAATTCGGCCCTACTTGAAAGCCCGTTTGTCATAATTGGACATCTTATCTCCTTCGACAAATGGCCCAAGCTAAAGAGGGCAACATCATAACCCGGTCCAG